TATATATATATATATATATGCGTTAGAATGACATTATAATAATATTTGGAGAATTAATATGTGAAGTACTCTATGATAATGAAATTTCTGTTATGAAAAACCATGATTCTTTGTAATTAAATCACAATATACGGTGTTTAAACAATACATATGGTAACGGTTTATCAGAAATTCTGGTTTCTAAAATTGTAGTTCTCATCACTACGCAATTAGTAAAATATGCAAAGCCGAAAAGCAAATTGAACCAAATGAATGGTTTTTATGCTACACTCTGAAAGTATCATGAAAAAATTACCGAATTTCACCACATTTTATCACATCTTATATTAAAGTATGATGTTGTTAATTTTACCAAAATTATTACTAAAGCAATTCAATAAAATTATCGAGCTTTTTGGTGTTTCCTTAGTGCCAGAAACATGGTGAATTGTATTGTATTCTGTTAGTTTCGACCATACTGTTTTTCTCAATATATAAGCAAAGGTTTTGCCTTTTACAAAACTTTATATTTTAAAATTTTATGGACGAATACTTTTTATCCACAAAAAAGAATTTTGTTATACTACCATACGTAATAAGAGCAATCTCATGTATTTCATATATTCCAAATGAACTGTGAATAAGGGTTTACCAGAAATTCGTGTCTTTAAAAATTATAGTTCTTATTACCACACATTTAGAAACAAATACAAAACTAAAGACGTAAATTTAACCGAATAAATGGTTTTAATTGCTTGCTGTAAGGTGACATGATTTAATTACCACATTTAGCAAATTTAACATAAATTACGAAACAGTATTTTATTGTTAATTTTACCAGAATCAGCGTTTCGGTAAAAATAACCGTGCTTTTTGGTGCTCTCATAAAGCCAGAATCCCAATAAATTTACCAGAACCCCTTTACCATTTTCTGGTCGTTTTGACCATACATTTTTTTCTCAGATAGTGGAGTTATTTAGGTTTTTAAAAACTACAATTAATGGTTTGAGATTGTACTTTTTACAGTTGAAGTTATAGTTCATGTCCCTCAATCTTAATGTGCAAAAAAAACGGAATTATTCTTGGCTTTAGAAGAGCAACCATCCAATTTCCTAAAATCGAGTTCAACATTCCAAATAAAAAATAGAATCAACACAGCTCAACTTTATAAATAAAAATAAAATCAACTTTAGGAAACATTTTAAATGAAATGTCAGGGAATGTTCTAAACAAATTATAAATGAAACGTCGCCAAATCAAGGAATACTATGAATAAAAAAGAGTAAAGATCCTAGAGTATGATTTTAGTTAAATAGATAAAGTATTTCTACAAAGCACTGAATCCGAAAAAACTCAATTATTCAAGTATTAAAAAGGGTATTTGATATTGAAAAGTACGAGGTAATAAAAAGTTGCTATGAATAAATACATAAAATGCGATAAAAATAATTAATCAAAAATCGGATCTTAAAATGACAATGTTAATCCTCGTGTTTGCCACGACCCATTCAAAACACTCTGAAGAATTCGTTCTGAGAGTGGGTGATATAAATTTTTTGAAGGAAACCTGCTTTAAAGTATTTCATTAAAATCCTCTTTAATTTCATGTAATAAATGACATAAAGACATATATCATTATTATACTTTCCATCTATATCATTCTTGCAAAATCTAATGTAGTATCAAAATATTTTTCCTGTTTTCGACTTTAAAGCCACGCATTATCTAGACTGAAGCCAACAGTTTCATGCTTTTGCAAGACTGATCATGGACTACCAAACAGTATGTCGTTAACTTCTTGTTATGATTATGATTAAATTTAATTATGTTAATTATTAATTAATTATGATTATGATTATGCAAACAACACATAATTATGATTAAACAAAACATAATTATGATTATATGTTTCAATTATTATGGGTTAATGAAAAAATAATTATTTAATGCTACAAGAACAGATTAAATGATTGATTGAATGTAGGGTCAAGTCCAAAAGCGAACATGCTTTGACAAACCATACAGTATAACTGTTCAAAGGGCAAAGTCAAAGTGCTTACAATACTATCATTGTGCAATTATTGCTGATAAAACTGTACAAGTAAATTAATAAAATCAGATAAAAGACATGAATACAATATAAAATGCATGAACTGAGAAAAGTGATACAAAGGTGATACAATGTTTGCAAAAGTGAATGAAGTTGTAAATGCATTAAAATATTTATATAGTGTTAAAAATACCAACAGCACGCAAATACGCAAAATCAATAGGATGATGAATGTCATGAAATAAATCCTGCAGGCGCAAAATAAAATTTCCGAAAAACATTCAACGATGTCTGTTAAAACATAGGCAAATTATGAAACTCCCGAAAATCGTTATTGTAAGTAATGCCATTATTAATGCATTACTACATGGCGTAATTGTAAAATAATCGCATTTCACCATATTTATTACTCAGTTTATTTATAAATACAAGTTCTAACTAATAAAAACTTGGATGAGTATATGTGCATTATGGCAAAGTGTAAAAATTCGTACATTTTATGACCTATGAAATTACCAAATAGGCTTTATCGTAGATTTAGATTACGTTCTTCGTATCATCACCTCTCAGTTTAAATTCATAAATTAATCCTATTTTTGATGCCACATCAATTAAATAGACATTAATTTTATGTCAATAAATTTGGACATTATCAAATATTAATGGGTGACTAAGGTATTCAAAACATCCTCGCCGACTACCAGAAACAGAGTGCATTGTTTATATATATATATATCGTAAATTAATGCATCAAGCAAAAAAACTCCATCGTGCTGTATAATTAGTGCGCTTTTTAAAAGTGACGAATTTTTTTTCGGTAGTAAATTTTTCAGTTAA